TGCGACACTGAGGGTTGCGATCCGTTGCCGGACACGAAAAAAGACAAAAAGGAAAAAACAACAACAACAAAAAAAACTACTATTTGATCTATAGGGATTATCTTCCATTCAAACAGACACAATACCAACAACACAGCAGCAGGAGCAAGGGTACATGGATATATTTCCTAATAAACTAGGATGAATGTTCTTTAGATTTTTATTTTAATCCACTGAATTCAGATAACAGGAATAACTAAACAATGACTCTAAACTACCCTGACAGTAATAAAAAAAATTGTTGGTATAAATCATTGAGATGCATATGAACGTTACTACTCAGAACAGTAGTGGTAATCCAATTAATAAGTAGTATAGTTTTATATGTATAAAAATTACATAAAAATATATAAATTACTGATTATTTTACATGTATAATCCTAAAAATCTTAAAGGATGATTTCATGTAAAGACATATAGGACATCGCTTCCATTTTTACAATTTAAGAAACAAATGCTTTAAAAAATAGTTAACGCTATCTATATCGATGACACGTAACCTAAGAGCACACCAATTTATCCCAGCAAGTAATCCCTGCAATTGAGTAGTATTTTTAGTAAATACCTATTTACTATACAAGTTATACATACTCACAGAAATGATTTATTAATCTGAAAACCTGTTAAATAAGCACTATTGAACGCTTTTACTTTAATCAAAGAATACGTAAAATGAAGAACTGGAAAGAAGTGACCATGAGTATTAAGCACGCATACAATTAGAATGACAACCACAGAGCAGACAAAAGAGTGAGCAACGACAAGAGTGGTTAACCTGGGTGGGCTGGCTCACTCTGCTAAAACCCTTACCTATTCTAAATATCGTAATGAGGATATCTCATTAATTGTGCATTCATATATTCAGATACCCCAAGAAACCTTGCCTGGATTTCTTAACAATTTCCTTACTGAAACCATGTAAGGGTATTTCAAAACGTTCATGAGAAGATTTGTATTATCTTTCTATTCTATTTTTCTATGAACATTTTGAAGAACCCTCATGTAAACCATGATAACATTCCACCTCCCAGCACTCTTCTCAATCTACCGTGCTGTGATGGAAGCCGACTGTAGCTTATTCCACTGTAGTCTGGATTCACAGCACAATTCTACCTGTGAATTTCTTCCAACCTTTACAAAGCAGTATGATCGCTCCAGGTGCCCAAAGAGTTCAGAAGAACTTCTGTTGTCTGTTTGCTACCATGCATGCTCGAGCCCCAATTCTTTTCCACCACCAAAAATACAATAATATCACAGTAAAAGGTGAAGAGAGGCCAAATGAATGATTTAATCCTACTCAGCACAGTTATTTGGGGCTACTCTCCTACAGGTAAAACATTCTGAGTCACTGCGATTATCTTCTGGAAGAAGAAGTGGTAGTTACTATGCTGGATGGTGGGCCGTCTTTGTACCACTTCAGGGGACCCTGGAAGGAGGGCTATGAGTAAGTCAAATTAGATTATCTTCTGGAAAAAGAAGTGGTAGTTACTATGCTGGACGGTGGGCCGTCTTTGTACCACTTCAGGGGACCCTGGAAGGAGGGCTATGAGTAAGTCAAATTAGAGTCCTCCCCAGTATGGGAAGGCACCTTTATGTGTTTGTTGAGACCTCCAGAAAATTCCAGTGTGAACATTTTCATATGTTCACAGACCTATTAATAAGCAGCTTCAACGAAAGGTCCACAGGAGACAGAGCATCACAATTGAAAGAACTCAGGTTTCGGACGCAGTCAGATCTGGGATCAAATCCTGTCTCAGCCTCTTGCTACTGTGTGATCTTGGGCAAGTTATTTAGTCTTTTTTGAAGCTCAGTTTTCTCAGATATGAAATAATACACACCTATTAAGGTAGGTGTAAAGATTAGAAATGATATATTTAAGGCACTTAACACAGGGCCTGAAACACAGGCTCTCAATAAATGCCATTATAAAGAATAAGATCTACATAGCAACATCCAGTATTAAAACTGTAACTCAGATTATATTTTCATTGATTTAAATGTCTTATGAAAGGGTTAAAGTTAATTTAATTATAATAATTTATTTTATTACCATCAAGTTCACAAAAGTGATCCTGTGAATCATCGTATCTTGCCCAGTCAATGAAAGCTTCTTTGCTTTGATTACTATGGGAAGGAGGAATAAAAAAGAAAAAGGATTAAATTTGGAGTTGAAAATTTTAACACAGTATTCTAGTGTAATTAAAATATATAATCTGAGGTTACATCTTTATTAGTTAGATGATGTCACAAATTCCATTGTTAGTAGTTACAGCAGGAATGAGAGAAACAAGTTATATGAAAAACATAGATATTAACTTCTGAGTCGATTATATTTCTTAAGTACATTAAAATTGTTATTAGCCCTAGTCCAATAATAATTATTCTGACTAGAAATTAAAAACAAAAATCAAGCTGGACTTTTCAACTGACTTAGAAATGATAGTAATGTTTATATTTTTTCCTGAAGTAGAAATTTACTTTCAGAATTCTTTAAATTTAATTGCTTCTATACTTATAGGATCCAAAATACCAAGAACTGCATTTCTATAATCTTCCATCCAATGTGGTATTCACTGGTTACACAAATGTCCTGTTTATCATGGTATATCATTCATTTCACATCCTACCTTACATTTAACAAAAGCTATGATCAAGAGTTCTACCTTGAAGAACTCACTGATTAGGAACAATTACATTCATTCAATTGGCCCACGTTCACTGTAACCTATATTTAGGCCTTCTCTGTCCTCCATCCATGATGTCACATATATTCCAGAAGCATGATTTTGATACCCTTCTTTAATCATGACACCAAAGAAAAAAACAACGTAAAAAAATAGTTTGTGTACCAAGTATACATCCAGTAATTCTTAAATGTGCTACCCTGACAGCCGAGAATTTATTCTGTGCTTGAGAAAGTGCTACATGACATAACCACTACAAAGAATTGTACAAGGCTGGCTGCACAATAGGAACTTTATTAATAAATTTTTCCAATTCAATTAACTGTGGGGTTTTTTCCCTATGAAAATATATAATTAGCTTAATAAAAGTTAATGGAAAAAATTGTATCGTGCTTGATTCAGTTGAAATATGTGATGTCAGGGCCGGCCCGGTGGCGCACTGCTACAGTGCGCCGCTTGGAAGCGTGGTGGCGCTCCCGCCGAGGGTTCGGATCCCACATACAGACCGGTTCCCGCTCAGTGAGCAAGGTGCGGGAGCAACGCCGAGGGTTGCGATCCCGTTGCCGGTCCCGGTCCGGTACGGGC